TTTATCCGTTTATCTTCGAGAGAACTGCATGAATCTTGTCGCTGTTTTGTTGATAAATTATGCTGAATTAGACGTAATTTAAGGTTTGGTTCAAATATTTTGTATTCGCCGAATGTGTCTCATTAACTAGGCAACCAATTTTTTACCATTGCCATATAAAAAGTTTAAAACAATGTTACGCTACAATAAAAAAAAGTATTTATCCTAACAAAAACACATGTTGTCGACAGTACTTATTTTTCCACGAAAACAGTATACAAAAACAGAAAAAGTCGTAAATAGTTCTAAAAAGTACTTGCTTCTTGAATTTTCTGCCATAATATTTGTATCAGATAAATAAACAATGATTTTACTTGTGTTCTTTGTAACTGGAGGATGGAGGATAGCTATTTGTTTAGCTTTCGTTCGCGTACTCGGGGGATTTGAGGAAAACGTATTATATATGAATCCAACTAATTTCCTTACCTTAGTTTACGTAATAACGTATTAAGTTTATTTAACATTAGCGAGGTAAAATTAAGAGGGATCATTGAAATCCATTAGATAATTTTATTAAACGCTGGTTTCCTCGTCTCCGCCTGTATTTGCAAAGTGCAGAAAATCTACAGCCGGAGACAGGAACCTCGACCTCAATATTAAAGGCTCTAAGTATTGACATCTATTATTAAAACAATAAGACACAAACTGCTAAACACCTGTATCATTTGACTGGTTCGTTGGTAGCAGTGTAACCAACGGATTGTGGATTCGAGTCCAACATGTTTCTAATCAATTTTTTTTTCCTGAACCATGTTGGACTTTATCTGGAGATCTGGATATTATTCCGTCCGGGAAACATCGTTTACACATGAAAAAGTCATGAGGTTTAATCGCATTTCCGTTTTAGTCTGTGGATCTCTGTTTATCCAACCAACTATCCTATCCAACTAGGTCAATCTGTTGAGATGGCTAGAGTATTTCATGGATCAAGTGAACCCCGATTGTCTTTTCTCTTGTATCATAAAATACAATCAGTAAGAACGAATAACAATTTGTTTCTATGATATTACGGCGTAAGATACTTCAGGTGGAATCGAAAGGAGCCTTTTCCTTTATTGCGGTTAAAATGAATTCGGGTACAAACGTTGTTATCCAGTGTTATCGGCAGTCGGCACCCAGCGAAACGTCCCGCTCCTAATGTTCACGACGGGTTTTATAATTGCGCAGATTGCTTCCTCGCTTTTATACCACCATTTAAACCGTATCTGCGTACAACGTAGGTTAAACATTCGCCGACGCTTTTAAGTAATTACTTAAGGCCCAAAACACGTGGCGTTTTTAAACGCGCAGGAGACGCACAGGCTATTCGAACGCAGTCGTAAGCGTTCCAACGCCGTTTTAAGCAAACGGGACGACTCTACTACACGCAGACATATCAATATAGTCGTTCGTAACTATTGCGTTTTGATTGGAGATCCCCGTTCCCCGTTCAGTTATACAATCGAGTAAATTATAACACTGCTTACGTTAGCTTTTAGTGCTTCTTTTAAAAGAAAAAAAAAGCGAACGCATGGCATAGATGTGAGCGTTTTAACAAACGTTTAAACGCGATTCTTCTGCGCGTTTAAAAAACGCTGTGTGTTAGATGCCTAAAGGCCTTTATCCTCTGTCAAATAGATTATTTTTAATTTCATCCTTTGTTCCTGGAACGTGGACCGTGGATGATTCGTCTTTCAAACGTGATTGTTATTCAAACACTGTGTTATTGCAGTTACAAAATACAACGATATTGAACAATTGTGCTGCTTTGTGCTCAACTTGTGCCGTTTATAACAATTCTAAAAAATTATTACAACCATTGTTTCGAACAATATTTTTTTTCCTACCCACATGCTAACATTGGACGGAAAAAATAATTTTGATTATCTTATTAACTTTCGTAGATTTTAAATTCAAATATTTAAAACAAATTCATCATCTTATTAACTATATGGACTACACATATTATTTTACCCTGTTATATTTACAGTCGGTGCGTACAGAATTGTTTCCGACAAGCACCGAGGAAATTGTTAGCACCGGATGTAGGTTCTTAGTAACTGTAGTTGGTTCAGAATCAGAACCAACTGGAGCATGTGATAAATTGTCCTAGTTCCTTACCGAATGAAGTTAAATCTAATTCTATATATGGTTCAGAACTTTGTTAGTAACAATAATAGACTCATTTTGGAATCTCGTATGTTGTTGTCAATAGGGATTGTAGCTATTTTTGGAGGCTTACGGTAGACTCCCGAAGATACTATGATTTGTAAGTCTAGTTTTATTAGAGATATGGAGTACGTCTATAAACGTAAAAAAAAATCCTGACTGTAATAAAAATTACTTCCATTAAAAAATATATTTTAATCTGTTCGGACATTACTAATCACAATATCAAGGAGGCGATTTTTACTAATGAATGCTATAAAGTTATAAACAAAATATCTGTAGATCTTTTCTATAGTATGCACAGGTCATTAGATACTCAAATTTAAAACCGTATTTACGTTTATCAAGATTGGCACCTGTCTCGATTCGTGCATATCTCACATCAACATCATGTACTTAACGTTATTGAATTCATTATTATTATAAATAAATTACTTTTAAATTTCACTAAATTATTTGTCCGGAACGTATAAACAAAAATCAATGTTAAAGTGTAAAAAATATTTTTAGATCGATATATTTATGCAGGATTGGAACCCACGACCAACAGCTTTTTAAATGTATATAAGATAAGTACCGTCTGTTGTTTATGCGAGTATTACACATTTTAATAAAACACTTTTAACGGTTTAAAAGGGGAGATATTTTAGTTATAAAGTCTGGCCGTTGTTAAAATAACTTGTAAATAAATTAACTACCTATGTAATATATCGAATTTTAAACTGTTAAAACTGCTTTATTTATTTATATAAGCTTCCATATACATTAATCTCAACTCATTCGTCTAAGACGTCTTAAGTGATCTTCGTTATCCAAATTCCCAAGAAGCAAGACTCTCAAGCTGTTATAAAGTAACAAGTACAGAGTTCAACCGTGCCCAATTTTAGTTTTAACTAATGGCTGCAACACAACTTTTGCACTATTGTCGCTACAATAATTTTCGTCAATAACTTCTATATACGCATTTAGAATACGCTAGTGGCATCACAGTTTTAATGGTGTAAAACGCTATATATATTAGGTATTTTTTTTAACTCTATCCTGGCATGACCAGTGTGTTAGTTACAATTATAACACTGTTTTTTTGGAAAGTAGCAGATTGAATTTATTTCAGTTTTTAGTCGGCAGGGAAAGAATTTTTTTTTCTCTAAAAATATAAAAGAAAAGAGTTTTTGACACTATATTATTTCATAACACACTTCTAACTCCAAATTAGTGGACAAATCTTACGGTTTTGACCCTTATTTAAAATAATATTTTTTCCTACATATCTTATACTTGCTCTGGAGTCTCAGATGCACTCATAATAGCGTCAGGGTCTTTGCGATAGTTATAAATTATCGTAATATGTGATATGGATAACAGGGACATATAACTTATTACAAAGTAAAGATGAAACTTGATTATTTCTTTTTTAATTAATACATTTCTAACGGCTTAAAAAGCGAGACATATGAGTTAACTAATTATACCACGACGAAAGCTTCTATAAATAAAACACTTTTAACGGTCTAAAACGCGATATATATTAGGTAACTTATTTACAATTTATTTTAACTACGGCCCGAAGAAAATGAGTTAATTAATATATTTCGCGTTTTAAACTGCTAAATAAAGACAATACACATTTATTTTTCAATTTTCTGTTCAATATTTACAATTACAATTATAATGGATTCCGATAAATAAAAGCGTACAGAGGGAGAAAGAGATATTTGCCAATTTTGATGTATTTGAGTGTTATCTTTGATCGGAGTTAAAAACAAACAATTAAGAACCCAAATTCTCATTAATGATATGGATATACAGAGAGATTTGAACTGAGAAATTTGATGATTATCGTACCACATTCATAGCCAGGCGCTGTATATTTGTTAGTGTGTCACTATTAGCAGCCAGAATGACCTTAAACGGTCAACTAGATAACAGTTTAATATACGCATCTGCAGATACGGGTCAATACATGGCACTTTCCAATGTTTCCATGCACATTAAACTCTGTACTTGTTCATATAGAATTAGTTTTAATCATATTGTAGTGTAGAATAGTTCTGTCTAATGGTAAGGAGTCAGTTTTATTACCATTTAAATAAGAAGCTAATCTGTATGAGTGGTACATATTGATATGAACACTTTTCACGGTTTAAAACGAGAATTATGTCAGTTAACTTATTTACATTTCATTTTTACGGCCCGATGTTTAGGATCCTTACAGCAGCGGTGGTCACGGGGGACGCCCGTTTTTAAATGTAAAAAGTGTTCTATAGAAATTTAAAACATTTACTTTTCTTTTACATATACACGTGGTTGACTTTCCAATACTTTTTAGTATAGTGATATACTACGACAGTCTATAAAATTGAATAGTCTGTCTTCCAATCATTAATATAAATCTCATAAATTATTTAAAATAGGAATTATACAACATGTTGTTAGCAGTTAGCACCGTAAAAAAAAACAATATGCCTCAATGTTACCAAGTAATAAGTAATAGAAGATCGAAACCAATAGTGTGTTGCTATTACTGTATTGTAATGGACTGTATAGCTATTAATTGTAGATTTTTTTTTCAAATATTTCGCTGTTTAAATTGTTTGATTTTCTTGAAAATTTTAATTGAATTGAAGTATTAATATTTAAATGTATCTCGAATAGTTCTGCAAAAATATGTTTTATTTATACAATTATGGAAAACCTATATTCCATACGTTATACGAGTATATTTTAAATTACCTGTTTTATTTTCAGTGCGGTAAAAATGCTATCAAAGGAGACTTATGATATTCTTCTTTTTCTGCACTATAAGTGTGTGTATGGCCGGTGACATTATAGTGGATTCGAAGGAAGACGCCTGTCGAGTTTTCACATCATGCGCTACGTGTATAACGAAGAAATCTTGCACCTGGTGCGTCACAAAAAGCAGATGTACCCACCACGCCTGTGGAAATGACAACGTGATTTACCCAAGCGACGTCGCCGCTCTCATGTCGGGCGGGGAGTTCTGTCCCCGAGTTGATGAATCAAAGCCAGTCACCATCAAAAGCGGAGCAAAGGAAATATTAGCTGTTAAAATAACACAAATCTATCTCTACATGGCTTTTACGCCGTGGAAATGCGGAGTCAATCTCGACGGCACAGAGAGAACCGTTCCCGCCATTTTAGTTGGGGATAAAGTATATTGCGAAGTTATGGAGTTCTTAAATGATTCTGATAAGGCTGTGATTGAAGGAAATGTCGTCGTGTTGTGGGACTATAATAAGGCTTTTGATGGTTCGTTGCCAATTAAAATATGTAGATGCAATTTAGACGCCTCGTGCGAAGCTTGTAAGCCAAAATAGCAAAGCTAGCTTAAAATTTAGGTTACTAGATTAATTCTCTAATGCGTTTTGGCATTATGTACGAAGGTTAACGATTGTTTAATGATATGATGTAGCTATTAATTACTGTTACACAACACGAAAGTGACGTTTTGTTTAATTTCTCTCCTAACAAGCTGTTTGTCGTAATATAGTATCGTGGGGCGTGGCAGCGGACACATTTTTGAGTCGTTTTAACTGATCATTTCTTGTGCAGGGTCTTTGAATGAGCAAAAAGCATTTTTGCACAATGTGTTTAACCAAAGAATAACATTGAAATACATGACTACTAGTTTTATTTCATAAAATCGAATTGCTTAGTGAAGTGCACGAGAATTTCTGGATTCTGGATCGAGAAGGACCGGGGGTCACTTGATGATAAATCCCAGCTATTTCTAAATAACTGTCTATTGGCAGAAGTCCATAGACTAAAACCGAAACGCTATTAAACTTCACGGCTTTTTCACTTGTGGACAGTAGTTCGTGACCTGTACGGAATTCCTATATTCCTACCAATTTAATACCCAGATGTTCTGACGTAGATGTTACAGAAAGAATATAAGTTCATTAAAAACACGTTGGACGGGGTGGGGATCCAACCCATTATTGCTAACAACCGACGAGTCCGTCTAACTAAATAAAGTCTAACAAATTTTATTACGGTCAAGTAATAAATTTCCTTTTTCAAAAATTTCGTTAAATTCAACCCATAAAATTGACATTAGTTCACCCCTGCCCCACATCGGATGCTTTAACTTTAATCTAAAAATTACTACAGAAAGTATCCAAGTAGTATACGTGGTATCGCTTTAAAAAATTTTAATATCTATCAGCATCTTCTGAGATGATTCTGGACAACTCTGTGAGTTAACCCTTTCGGAAGGAGCCCGACAAAGCTTCAGAAGTAGGTACATTATGTGGTACGTGAGAAGACTGCATTTTAAAATTTTTGCTCTCGTTAACTAGTTGTTCACTTTTTCACATCTAAACGTTGTTACTACTCACATGTTACTAACAACGTTACAAAGTTTTTCTCTAGAGTTCAACACAAGCGAGACAAACTGAACTTAAAAGTAAAGTTATTTAAGTTATAGAAACTGCGTGTCTATTAGCTTGACGTTCTATCAAGTTTAACGAAATATATAATTATTTGTCTATTTACTACAGTTATATATAGTCGAAAACTGTCTGTAGTTTACGCCAGTAGTACTTTAACGATTTAAAACGCGATATATATTAGTTAAACTTATTTGAAAATTCCGATGCTTTTTGCATCAAAGTTTTACTAATATATATAGCGTTTTAAATCGTTAAAGTATTTTATTTCAACATAGTAAAGTAGTAAAATTAATTTACACTTCAATATTGTCGTATTTGTATTATTTATTATCGATAATATAACATATTTTTTGCATTCGGTTACCATTAAAAAAATGAAGCAATATCCCAAGAAAAAGCAGCAGAATGTTATAATAGCCAGTTCGACTCCCGTTCTTGGCGTAGAGTTTATCTACATACGTGAGAATAATAATGGAGATACATCGAAAAAAAAAGATATTGTTTTAATGGTTTAAAACGCGAAACATATTAGTTAACATATTTACAATTCTTTATTTACTCGTACAACAGCACGACGTTTGTGGTCACGAGGGTTACCATACCGTCATTAAAATAAATTGTAAATAAGATAAATACCATATTTCGCATTTTAAACCGTTAAAGGCGTTTTATCTAAATGTGTATAACAAAAACGGGCAGTATGCTAAACTAAGATACATGTACCTTTCATGAATACTGTTTAAATATTGTAGGTAAGATTTATGATAAACGAGACTATTTGATCTCCTAAATAAGGAGAAAAAGAAACTCCAATACTCGGTGATCTGTTTGTGCGTCCCCTGTTTTTATTACCAGGCATCTGCGAAAGTAATGACCACAAGTAGTTAAAAATGAGAAACCGTATAAGAACCGGGTTCTCGATTAATCAATCCGACTTCTTCCTAACTTCGATTAGAGTAGATGATGTGGATTACGGCGATTTGCCTCGCCTCCGAGTTCGTAAGATATTATGCAATGTGACTACGGGGGTGATACAGCCTGGTAGTCAATTGATTTGTGAAATTACACGCAGGTCACTAGGCACCCGGTTAGAATCTCGTGGCGAAATGTTTGACTGTTTTGGATTTTTATAATAAAAATAGTTTTTTTAATAAGTAGCCAAATTACGAATAATAAAAGGATACGTAGGATCGTAAAGATCAAAATGGGATGTACAGATATTTAAAACTATTTAGATTAGAGACGAATCTACAACTCAGCTTTCAGTTATTTCGGTTAGTCAGTCAATTTTACATTTTATTGTTTTTTTGGTTAAAAATTAAAATTAACATTTTTTAGCTAATAATGTGCGAAACATTCTACGTAAGGTATTACTTTAAGGTACACTTATGAACGTCGAAGTAGTTAAAAAAACTAAATTTACATTTTCTCAAATCAAGGGCGTAGAACAAACGAGAAGAACTGGCAAGCTCGACACTCTATGTATCTCCAAGTTTATTTTTAAAATCTTCACGTACTTTTAATGCATTACATATTTTTTTCTGGTTCGAACAAGTTCCTTCAAACCCTAAGCATTTTTATTGTTTAAATATTAAACGTCTTAATATTATAGTTAAACGCGTTGCCAGCATGGAAATCAATTATAATAGCACTAAGCTCAATTAGTAACTTTAGATAAAACCGATCTACAAAAACAGACATTAAAATATGTCTACTCCATAAGCAGAGGGAAAGTCATTTAGGATCGATATTTTGTTAGCTTTGTTCGAATTCTGGATAATCATCAAAATGTTATAAGGAAAATTGTTTACTAACGTCATTATTATAAATAACCATAATTTGTTATAAGTGTGTTTTAAGGAAAATTGCTAATAGCAATAAAGATGTCACATTTTTCAGGACATGTTTGACTACAGGATTTGGCTATTTGCCAACTCATTGATCGTCCCGATTAACCACATTAACGCAACACGTTGATTCATATATAGATTGTCGCTTAATGTATAAGATCTGTAAGATGACTTTTATGATGTAAGTCTCGAGTACTATTGTCTGTACAAAAATAACCGAAAATCTATTAATATTACTGACATAGTAATTTTTCGCGTTTTAATCCGTTAAAATCGATCAAGATCGTATTAAAAATACCTACTTTAGTCACTTTGATAATTCTAATTACGCCTATCGGTACCTGTCATCATAAACATCAATTTTTATCTGAATTATCGGTATCGAGGATTCAGGTGACTAAATATTTATTACGTATGTAGATATATATCTTTCTAAGTAAGATACATTTTGATTACAAAATTTTTTTACTGTTATACAACTTGCAAATATATGTATAAAATAATCAGCTTATAATTATAAGATCTTTACAATGCCTACTTACAATTTAAAATGATAAATTATACTGCCCTACGGTATGCGACTCAAACAAAAGTATTTAAAAAAGAGATGGTTTGAATCTTGTTTAAACAAGTGGCAGATCAATTTGGTTTAAACCAAATTTAAGCTGAGTAGTCGCTTATATGAACTGATTGATATGAACAGGTTTTTCGAAAGTTATTACACTTGCTACATGAACAAAAGTTAAAGAAACGTATATGTAACGCTTCGACCAAAAACTCTCAGTAAAGTATCCTAACATATGAACTTGTTTGAAATTGAAGTGGTTTCCGCGTGCCGTGAATAAGTGAGGACAATATATTTATGTTAGTTAGGAGCAGGGTATAGTAACAACATTAGATGTGTCTAAATAATGATTACTGAAATTAAATACTGTCTATAGTTTACGCGAGTAGTACACATTTAAATAAAACACTTTAACGGTTTATATATCGCGTTTTATACCGTTAAAGTATTTTATTTAAATTACTGACTTAATGTATCACTTATTAATTATATTGGCCATGGAATTTTTTTTATCTCACCCCTAATTTGGAAATTAGCGTATTTAATTTACAGATTCAACAAATACCTTGAAGTACTTTTTGTTTACATAACTATCTTAGAATGGTTGTAAAGATACATTGAGATTATTTTGTACAACACAATATAAATACGTACCTACAATTTACCCAAAGGATGTTGATAACAGATTATATCATTGTGCTCAAACTACATCTAGATATTTCATATTATGTTTTATTCTCGACTGTCGGCACTCATCGAATGCAACATGTGAGCAACCGTATTTTTACCTGGTGCGCTGAAGCGAACAGACGTGTTTACTTATTACTGTGTTGTTTACAAAACGCAATATGAAATAGTGTCTTATAAAGAGTGAAGAAAGTGGAAATAATGACAAACAACGGAACTCAAGTCGTCACTGTGATCACGAATGTAGCCAACGAAAAATTAAATTCACCCATAATAACAAAATGGTGGTATTTACAATGGAAGAAGATTCTTGCAGAATTTGTGTCGACGCTGCTGCTCATATTTCTGGGTTGCATGACCTGTATGCCGCTGAGTGGGTTCTCGGTCCAGCCTCCAATGTACGCGCCCATCGGCTTCGGAATGGTGGTCCTGTTTAACATCACAGCATTCGGGCACATATCTGGTGCTCACATGAATCCTTCTGTCACTCTTACGGCTGTCATTTGGGGGAAAATGTCGGTACTTCTTGGAATTGGATATGTCATAGCGCAATGTCTTGGTGCAATTGTCGGCTACGGATTATTAGTTATGGTGTCACCATTCGATTTGATAACAAATGCGGTCTGCGCGACTCAACCCCACATCGGTCAAGAACCGTACCAAGCGCTGCTCGTTGAGATTATCTTATCAGCGTCCCTCGGTTTCATAAATTGTGCAGTTCTGGGACCCAGTTAATCAAGAGAAGGATGAAGCCAATTCTCTGAAGTTTGGGTTTGCGATAGCTGCATTTTCTATGGCCGGTGGGCCTTTGACCGGCGCCAGCATGAACCCAGCTAGGACTTTAGGACCTTCGCTGTGGACTAATAACTGGAATACTCATTGGATATATTGGGTCGGCCCACTTCTTGGTGGTGCAATTGCGGGCCTATTCTATAAATTTATTTGGTTGAAAACCGATAAAGACAATTCGTGATAGTATCAACTCGTAAAAACAAGTATTGTGTTAATGCAGATATTTTCTTTGTGAAATTTTTAAGCTACCAGTTACAATTTTTATTATAATAAGTTTCGTCTTAGCAATAAGTTGTGTTTTAGGTATTTTTTTTTGTATCTACTAAATAAAGTTTCTTTGCGATGGCATTTAATAGTTGTATTTATATACCTCATTTGATTTTACACCAATCCATTTAAACAATTTGATCAAATAAATTGAATTGACTCTTTTAAATATATAATTAATAATATATTTTCCTATATAATATGACCATTTCATTAAATTGTTTGTAGGCCTTAATACCAGTCATTTGAATCACAATTAACAAACAACATTAACCTTTAATTGGTATAAGGAAAATTTTCAAACGACAAACGCCTAAAGGGAAGTTTTCTTTGCCTGCAGCGAATATGTAAGTGATTTCTTCTCGACTTGATAATTCAAGTTTAAACGTATATAAGTACTTACCTACACTATATTTGTCTATTATGTAAATATGGAGTTCTACCTAAGTGATTTGAAATAACTATGAATGAGTATATACAGAGATTTTTACTAAATAGAAGAATTCGCGATTTCTTTTTACATCCAGTAACGAAAATTGGACAGATTTTAGAATATTAGTTATCTTTGAATGGGAGTTTTACCTTCCTCAATAAGCGGTCGAAGACGCCAACAAGTCTACAAGAATTTGTACGTATTATATCTTAATGGTTTAGCAGGCGGAACGACACGAACAAATATTTTAGTAATTTTATCTTGAACTTGTGAAGTTCTCTTGCATTTAAAAACTTTCATATTTTTCAAATCATACGATGTCGTTATATCTAATTGAATAATCTAATCTAGATAGAAAATACTTTTTTGCGACACGGGCGGTACCTACTTGAACCGGCATACAATGCAATACACGATACGTTAAGAGGAGCAACACGGATCGCCGTGGTTGTCGGTTCGGTACCTGTCCGTGTCGTATTTTTTTTTTCAATTACAATAGATTTTGCATTTACTCATGCCTTGTTGGTCTATTGGTAAGCGTACTTGACTGCATGTCCCGAGGTCTGAGTTCCGATAATAAATTAAGTATTAAAAACACATTTTTTAAGAGTAGGAGGTATCATCACTATCACTGCTTGAAGAGCAGGTTGATCTGTTACCTGTTGTTATCACAAATTAAAAAATAGGCACTAAGTTCTCTTGCATCACCTTGAAAAATCAGGGTGGATCTAAGATAGAGGCAAAGAGGCCCAGCAGTGTGATATAATTCGGGTGAAATGAATTATAATGACAATACTAAATGTCAAAATTAAAGCTATAATAATTAATAGCTTTCTGTCTTTTTTTATAAAGTAAAGTTTATGTTTCCGCAGTTAGTAAATAACTTTGCAAAAACTGGGATTTCCTTTACCCAATATTACCAAAGTTAATTAACAACCACTCTATAAAAACTTATTTCCGTCCCCGTACAACCTTTTTGATTCAATCTAAATGATGACAAAAAACTCTTACTAAGTAATATCAAAGCCAAAGCATTTAATAACTGTATGTTTTTAAGTAATTGAAGCAATTATAATAAATTATTTTTGCTTTAATTACTCAAAAATGATATTTCTGTATCAAGCAAACTATGTGTATAATTAAACACCGCTGGTTACAATATTACTTCTATAGATAAATTAGTGAACAAACGACAATGTACACTTATAAACTTATAATATTAAAAGAAAAATATTATCTCGGTACATCTATACTAATATTATAAAGCTGAAGAGTTTTTTGATTGTTAGTTTTAAACTTTTATTATCATTACCGTTTATCTAGTCTATAGAACATCCAACTGCGACCAACATGAGAGAAGAAATAGGGGGATATGTAAAAAAATAGGGAAAACCATTCAACTGTGATTCGGCCTCTGTTGCGCTCCGAAAAGTGTATATCGTTCTATAAAACATAAAATGTGTAAAAAATGATTTTTTTAAATTTTGTCTGCAACTGTAAATGTCTGTCTCTCTTAAGACCGCAAGAAAGCGAAAGCGGTGGTAGTGGGTAACAGCTACATTTTTATAAAGCTGAGCAGATTGTTTGCAAAAATAAATGAACGATACCCAAAATAACTATTCCAGGCGGACACGCGGGCACAGCAAGTCTTATAACATGCATTATTAGAATATTATAGTTAAGCTCGTTTGTCTCATGCTAGCAATGTATGGTAAGACCTACAACATTACTATTTATACAATGAATACTAAAAATCCCAAGTGATATCTAATAAGGAATAGTTCAGACTTTACGACTTTGCTATAAACAACTGTAAGATAAATCATAATTTTAATAAGAAATTAATGACGCCATCTACATTTTTCATAATAATATATTTCCTCATGTACATAATTCATTTGTTTGTGACGGAACTGAGGAAATAAATTTGTTTACAATAATAACGTAAATAACTCAGAACCGCTTATTACCAACGCTATTGTTTAGAAAATAAATTAAAAATAAAAAGGTTTTTATTATGACAATATTACTTCACTTTTAGTAATGTTGTCATAATAAAAAAATACTAGTAGGTAATATTGTACAATGCTACATACATTACTTAACTAGATTTTGACTAAGACCCGCCTATCGCGTTTATAGCCTGTGATTTTCGCAAAGGAACAAATAATATAAAGTTTCTTACGATTTCATTCTTCATATAAGTAAAAAATAAATGTCTGCAATATGTAAACGAAAGTTGAGTAGGTACATTTCAAACAGTAGATGCTATCTGTAACCAGCTTTTCCAGTACTGCTCGGATCCGGAATTTGTATTGTTAAGGGTTATCCGTCGATCTCCTCAATAAAATACGGTTTGGGAATTCGAAAGAGTCACAAATTACGGGGTGGCTTGACTTCAAATTTTATTAGAACATTATATATTTTAGATTTTACGAAGCTAGAAATTAATAATAAGGTATTAATAATATATAGAATCATCGAACTATTTGATCCTAAATTTTGAGATGTTAGGTGTATAGCTGCTGGCTGACTTAATTCATCTCTATGATAGAATGTGGCCATGCAGGTCCTGAGCATATTCTCAAAATTCCATTAAAATCAGCCTAGTAGTTTAGACGCAGGAATTCCTTTCCGCGTTGTTATTTTTCGATCTACTAGTTTCAAAAACATTAGGGGTGTGATCAAAATTAAACGGCGTTTTCGCTATTTACTTTTTATGTAAAAACAAGTATACATTTTATGAATATTATTTTTTTATTAATAATATTACGAGTAAAATGTACTGGTAAGTTGTCTGGCGGCAACCCACATAGTAAAAAGGAACTAAATTTGTATACAAAACAAATAAACATTATCAGGTACTTACGAAAGAGTTGTGCCAGATTTAATTTTTATTGATAAAATGTAAACTTCTTATCAATATCAATAAGCCAATATTGAAATATGTGAAATAATTCTGTTAAATTAGCAAGAATATTATTAAAATGTCTAATTTAAATCCAATAGATCATATTATGAGACCGCTAGAAGCAGTTTACTCAAATTTCATGACTTAAGTCATTTATATTTTCATAGTCTAATGTAATCTACAAGAACACAGTGACCGAAAATTGTTAATTATAGTACAAAATAATTCTTACACAAATAATAGTACAAAATTAATTTTCGCCTAAGTTAATTGCGCACATTTATTTTCCTCCTTATTGAAAAACATGTTTTGTTATTAAGCCACTCAGCCTCTAGCAGCCCCATATTAAATACTAAATTGTACCTCATGATATCCCTATCTCCCATATCTTATATATGACATGAAAGGGTTGACATATACTTATATGGGATTTGGTGGAATCGCGATTGATATCAAGGCCCTGGTACCCTCGTCACTCGCATAAGGTTTCATCAAAACTATTCTCGAAGTTTAGCTTCGCTTCAGAACTTTTAAACCACAACCCTAAATATAGGATAAGATGATTTGTCAGATTATGCCTATAAAATATTACATTAATTGGCATCAAAACAAATAAGTTATATCTTAATTAAGGAACCTAACCATAATGAAAACCCCTATGTAGCAAAATTGATGTCGGCAATACAATTTGTAAATTATATTTATAACTATCTGACTTGACAAACTTTCTTTTGCATAAAGTATTTCGATTAAATTTGATTAACATAAAAACTGTTCTGCTGTGTTAATCTTAAAAGATAGATTATCGCAGACGTTTTCTAGATTAATTAAAGAAGAATATTTCTCTGCTACAATTTTTTTGGTATCATAAACCGTAATTGTCAAACGTATATACTTACGTTAAATATTGTGATATCAACTTTTATAAAAGTCCTAATTATTCCCAATTGTCATTGCCATTATACAAAGGCCCATCATACATCCTCGATTTGCTTCGTGTGGCGAATGTCAATAAGCGACGTCGACAGTCACCAGTAATTGAATACTAAATTATCCTATTCATATTATTGTAAAGATGGTTTAGAGTTTAAATAAAACACTTTAACGGTTTAAAACACGAAAGATTTTAGTTATACTTATGTGAAAACTATTTAAACTATAAGTTTAATTAATAGATTCCGCGTTTTAAACCGTTGAGGTGGTTAATTTAAATGTGTAATACTCGCGTTAATTACAGACAGTATTTACAGTAGTTCAGGGTTTTTGACGTTTGACATTCTAACGGTTGAGTTTTTTGAAAGTTTGAAATGAGACAGACAATTACAAATTTTA